AACACAACTACTGTACAATATTTCTGGACATGATAAGAGACAATTAGGGTTTATGTTGCTGGCAACGTATGAAAGTTATTGAGGTTGTAAAGGACAGTGAAATATATATTTTGATTTCCCGTATGTAACAGCAAGGAGGGAGGCTGCTCTTATGAGACATGAATGAAGCCTGAAGGTGAAAAGTACCAATGCAATAACAAGATGTTTCTTCCTTACCAGCATAAATCATTTTCATACCTGTATTTGCCATCCTGATTAATTAAGGAAAACCTGTGAGGGGTTCTTTTATAATTAACTATGGGATGCACACTTCTATATTTTCCGTCTTACATCTACAGTACCATCCTATTTCCCCCCCACATTTTTGGGATGTTAAAATCTACTGAATAAACTTCGGCTTCAGATATTCAGAAAAGCTACTGAGTAAACTAGTTCAGTGGATAATTGAGATAGCATCGCAACTGCAGCGTTCTATAAAAACCAGAGCGCGATACAAAAAAAAGAAAGACAGAACCAAGATTCGGGTAAGGCAGCATTTCAGATTAAAGGAATTCAGATAAACAGGATTTTAACTGACCTTAACATTTATAGGAATGGAATATATCCCCCTGCAGATCGCTTCCTATTTAATCCCACTGTAGTATCTGAAAGGTTAACAAATACACACTGCCACAATTAACTTGAAGCACATTGACTCGTTACAGGGAGAAAATGAGCTTGCTGTGAATATCAGCCAGGTCTGTGGCTTCCCTTTCTGTAATCTGTTTGCGAGCGGGATGTCTGACTGTGAAAATGGACGGACTCGGGTCTTAGAGACAGGATGAGCAATGGCTGCCTCTGGCTTCACAGAGAGTCCTGCTAACCTGGCTCAGGTCAAGCTCAATGGGAGCACCTCCAGAAATCAGAGGACAGGCTAGCAGCTATGACCAATTTCATTACTGAGAGTTGTACTGAGTGAACCAACTAAAGGCTATGTAGTAATAACTAGCTGGTATCTATGAGGAAGCCATTTCTGGTATGAAACATGCTGCCAGCAGCCACCTTGAGGAGAGAGAACCAAGCTGATGGGGTTTGCAGTTCAGCTTGCAAAACCCATACGGCTTAGCTGGAGCTGTAATTTCCAGAGCCATGCAGCATTACACCTAACAGAGGAACGTTGCCTCCCCATGTTCTCCCTAGCTTCTGACCCACCCAGCAAGGCTACCAGGGCAGCCGGTCCTTTTCTGTCCAGTTTCAGGTTATTTATTAAGAGGAACCTAATTGAAGTTTATGACCTTATCACTGTCACTGAGCATCCAGAAAAGGAGGTTGCATCTGGGTGAGATGGGACTGATGCCTGCTCCTCTAGGACCTGTTTGCTTGCGAAGGACTTCCAGGAAATGCTCTACCATGCAGCTTTTCTGCACTTCCATTCTCTCTGCGGATTCAGTGTGTGCAAGATCCCTAATTAACCAAATGCAATTAGCACCGAAGCACTCCATTTTCAAGCATTTCCATTTTAACCTGAATGTACACAAAATAATACCTCTTCCACAAATGACTAGTATGTTGGGAGCTTTAAGGTATCTGTGTGCACACATACACACAAACATAGAGCTGCAAGCACAGAAGCGATATGTATCTAAAATGCATGGCAGATCTGGAGTAAGAGAGACCCTTATTAATCTTTAGAAAACAATCAGTCTAATCAGTCAAGACTTGATCCTGCTGGGGGCTACACTTTTCCTTTTTAACCTAGCAATAGATATGAACACATCTCCTTTTGATTTCAAGGGTACTATTTATATATGTGAGGTTATGCGTATGCAGTACTGGTGTACGCTGGAGAACTCCATTCAGTGCAAGGCTGAGCCCTTAGTGTTGTTGCATCTGACATTTTCTTCATGTGGAGGAAAATTCAGTTCTGCATTGCGTCAGCAGGTCACCGATCTGATTTTGGCCCACATTTGAACAAGTTTCACTTCACTTGTACCACATTAGAGCCTTTTGCCGATGTGGTTTTCATCTTTTAAGCACAAATGTTATACTTGCCATGCTATCTACAAAGCCATTTGTGATACAGTGTGCCTGTGTACTTTGTTGGGTAATTTTCAGCAATAATGGCAGGGCACAGTCATCTTTAGATCTGATCTGTTTCTCAGGGTCTAACTTCTGCCTTTGGCTGCACACGTGCAATTCCCCACTGAACTTAATGGAAACTGTATGTACATGTCTCTAAGCAGCTTGTTGCCAGTGTGCTTATTTATGCATACAGCTGGTTTGCACAGCTTTGTGATCTCCTGGATGATATGTGGGAATCTCTTCATCAACTTCCCCTCTGCCGGGTACACTCAGGTCCTGAAAATTACCTTCCCCCAGCTGGTACACATGGAAGGGCATTGTCCTGAATAATAGTCTTGATGGGTGGCAGTCACAACATAGCAAAAGGATGGTAGACTGCCATTAATTTACATTGTATGCTACTCTTTACGTGCCTTTTTTCTTCTTTTCCCAGTCTTCCTCCATGCTCCTGCCATCTACCAGTCTCTGAAGGTTTATATCAGTAACATCTTGAAAATCACTTTAAAGAAAATGGGTTCAATCTTCCCCTTGATCTTTACATAGAACACTGACATCAAGAGGGAGTCCCATGTGTGGGATGAACATACAGAATATGCTGTTTCAGATGAAGTTTTGTGGCTATTAGGATCAGAAAGCCATGTGAATTCTCTGTCTGGTGTGAGTGGGCAGGAAAACCTTCAGACATTGCATGATCCTGAACTTTTCTGATCTTTTTCAGGCCATGCCTAATTAGTACCAAATTCAGAAAGCAAAAATTTAAGCCTGAATTATTTATCATGTTATATTTATAAAATGCACTGCAATATACATCATGGCCCAGTTCACAACAACTACAGATAAGATTAATCTTTCACCGATGGCATACTCCTTAATATGAGAATATAATTATCTAGCTGAAGAGTTTCTTAAATTACATACTTTCAAACTAGTATGAGCAGAATTTATCCTTGTGTCTGGTGCTAAGCCAAGTGGAAAAAAAATTGGAAACAGAATTGACAAAACACACGTTGGCTCTGTCTGTCTATCAACATTTCCAGTGCACACCTTACATGGCCCTGTCATCATCTCAACTCCAACCTGGTCTCGAATACTAACATATTTTCCTCCCTGAAATGTGATCCTGAAGAAGGGAGTTCCAGAACTGCAGGGACACATTAAAGGATAAAGTGCTTAGTTTGTAGTAAGTCCCCTGCAAGTTAATACACATTTGTCTTGCCCAACATGGAAATTAAAAAAAGAAGGGTATCACAGAAAGTATTCTTACCTTTACTTGGAGTAATTTGTATCTGCATTTGATGTACATTTACAGATGTGCATGGGAGTAAGTACAGAGTATTTATTGCAAATGCCTTTGAGAAAAAGCCACACCTTTAGTCTGCATTGTCTGCAAAGTACATTTTCTGCACTTTCCTCTGGAATGCTACATCCAGAAAGATGTGTAATAAACTTTTAGAGTACGTGTGTATAAATATATCTCTTTAATTTACTGTACTTTTAAAAACCATTTTCTCCCTTGAAGAAACTCACAATGACTACAGGGAAGCCTACCAACTGTTTCTCTGATGATCATCAATAATGCACAGTAGAGTTTTAAAGCCTGATAGATGGATATATTGACGGTAAAGAGGCTCAAAGAAAGATGAATGCAGTCCAGTGAGTGAAGAATGCAAGCTGGAGGAAGGGATATTAGTGAGCTTATAAAATGGATTTTCTTGTGGGAAAAATGCCCTTTTCAGGGATGCATGCACAGTATCTTTGAAAAGTAGCTTTGTTGTAAGCAGTGTGTAGAACTTTGTATTTTTGCATTTTATTTAATTCTTAAAAGATTTTTTCCATTATACTTTCTTGGTATAATTTCATTGCTTTTACTTCATGCTTCTAGGAGCTGAGCTGCTGTGGTGATGTTCTCTCCATCAGAAATAGAAGGCATGCACTGGTTTAAAGCATAAATGAAGAGGTAAGGTGACAGTATCCCAAACGTTAGCTGCCTGATCAGCCTGCTTTGCTCCCTACATTCTTCCAACCTGTCCTTGTTTAAAAAACAATTGCATTTTCCAAATGAATTGCTGTTAATACAAATGCATTTTGATTGTCAGTGCCAGTGGTGGTTCTGCAGTTATGGGCAAGAATATAAGTTTATTTCCCTCCAGGGCCTCTACAGAGAGCTGAGGGAGATTAACAAGTATTTTAGGCAGCTAAGTGTGAAATACTGGTTGGGTCAATAACTTGCCCCCCGCTGCTGTTATGCTAGCTGTCAAAAGCTGGCAAAGAGACATATCAGTATGGAGTCAAGTGCAGGTCTGATCATACTGAGATCTCCAGCCTGGACTCTCCGACTTCACTGAATATTCCTCTCTGCTTCTGTGTAATCACGAGAACTGTTTGTCAAACCAGCATTAATCTGCTCTCCATAACTACCTTTCTGTGTGATAAGAAGCATGGGAAAATGGGAAAAGCATAAAGACAGGGTTTTGTGACAAAACTGGCTTTTGTATGATGGAGCAGCTGTAATTACTCTTAGCATTCAGAAAACACCTATCTGCATCCCTAGGTAGGATCGTCCTAGGATTCACCATACCACAACTGCACCCCTGTGGAAAGGGCCATTCAAGGAGAAAAACTCTGCAGGATTTCCAGATGATCTGTATCCATCCTGAGGATTCTTTTTACAGAAAGCTAACATCTGGCTCCAGGTTTGGAGCCATCTTCAACTAATCTGAATACAAATTTAATGAATGCCAATTATTGTCACCATCATGAGTGATTTAAATAAGGGTAAGTTCAGCTGATCTTTTCTCAATCTATTATTTAAAAGTTTGCAGTCACAAGTCCAGTGCTATAACTGATGCAATAGCAAAGCAAAACAACCCACCAAGTACCCAAAAAAACCCCAAAACAACAAAACCCCCAAGGTTTACGAAGATAATTGCTAATTTTACCTGTCCAGCCCGCAAGGCAGCAGCAGTAACCGGTGACAGGATCGCACCCATCCGCATGGCTACAGTCACAACGTTCACTGCAATTAAGACCATATGTTCCATCCTTCCAAAAATATAAATAAAAAAGTCTCTCAGTAATCAGTTTTTTGTTCTAAAATGTGCAAAATCATCTACCATGTCCCTCTTAATGCTGAGTCGCATTTTTTAAATTAACATACAGAGAAGATAGAAACAACTCAGTGCCTAACATTTCTATATAGAACCAAATGAGGAATTACTTTAAAAAATGATGTTCAAGAAAACGCAGATAACACGGCAGTAGCTCTGATAAAATATAATGCAAAGTATAATACATCTACTTGACTGCTAGAACCCCAATCTGTTATTTACACATGATTTCCTTCAGATATGCATAGACAAAATGAGATACTGACCTACTGTACATTTAGAAGAGCTATGTGGACTATGGCTTTAAAGGGGATGCATAACCATCCTAGTTGTACTTACAGGACATGGCTGGTCACAGTACTCCCCTTGCCATCCAGGTGAGCAGAGACAAAAGCCATCAGCTGGCCTGCAGGCTGCTCCGTTTGTGCAATAACATGTCTGGTTACAGTTAAGACCCCAACTTCCACTTGAACATGGAATAGAGCAATCCACTCCTTGCCAGCCTAAAGAAACATATGAGACAAACAGCATTTGGGATGTTTTCATGAAAAAAGCAAGGTAGAGACAGCAAGAAAGGCAGCTTGCAAACTGTAGCTCTTTGATTCTAGGTCCAGTTTCCTCCTGATCTTTGTGTAAATTAAGACTATCATGGGGTCAAAGATCGACCGTTTAATAATGACCTCCCAACTTCATCTACCAGCATCTATACGTACAGAAGGGCGATATAGGTATCACTGTGTTCGCTCTTTACCAGATTAAGGTGTCTGATGCCTCTCTGGGAACTGCTTGGGCAGCAAGAGAGAGTGTGGTACTGTCTGGCAGGCTGGAGACCTGCTGATCAGTAAGAATGCAAGAAACTTGCCATTCTATGCTGCCTGTTTCTTCCCTCATATTTTTTTTGAGAATGCTTTTTAATATAAAGAAGCTATTACACCTAAAAAAAGACCAAGGCCATCATTTCTAACCATTAAGGCTCAAATCTTAACTACCAGCTGTACAATGGCTTTCATTACACTGCAGCTGTATGTAATGGAGTTGAGCAGTAACTCATGGATTATACACCCTCATTAAATGGGGTTCTACAGTGATCCATTAATTCATGTTTGAAATGCCAGATTTTATCATTATTTGCCTCACTTCTGTTTTAGGGCTTATGTATGCCATACAGGCATAGCTCATGTTGGTATTCTGGGGGAAGGCACTGCTACACGGGAAACGTAAGAGGTACTGTGCTATGGAGCGGTACAAGATTTCTCAAGTGATTACTGGATACATGGGTTATGCTCACTACCAGGCACATAAGGGAATTATGGACACATGTGTGGGAGGAAAAGAGGTTAGTCTTGCAGACAGTCTCCGGAGCAAGCAAGACTTCTTGTTTCCCCAGACAAAGGACAGCCACATCCTGCAACCCCGTGCCAGCTCAGGGGACAGAGGATACCTGCACATGGCTGGAGTGTCACAGTGTCAGGGTTCAGCAAGGATGGGGAGCTGAGGAAGGCAACAAGGGCGGGCAGCCGGGGCCCACCCCACAGTCCCCAAGCGTTGGGTTGGCAGCTGGGATTGGCTAGGAGGCCAGACCACCAGGAAAGCCTATGGGAATGAGACCAGTCCAAGGTCGAGACAGGCAGGCAGTCTGCAGGTCAGGGTCAGGTCTGGTGAGGATAACCACGGCCGGGCACAGCCCAGTGCAATGGGCTAAAGAAAAGACAGGCAGGAGGCTGCCTCTGCTCCCTTGCCCAGTTGTGTTAGTCTAGGCATACAGGGGAGAACAGGGGCTTTTGAGTCCTGGAGAAATAGGGCAGCAAAGTGATAGAGAAAAAACCCCAATAGTCTGGGGATTGTTTTGCATTTCCTTTGGAGAAGAGCTGTGGCTCTGCCAGCACACTTAGTTCTGTGACCTGTTCTTGCAGCAGAGTAGTTAAGTCTGGCCCCTGTTCAGGGCAGAGACAAAACATACAGTCAAGGCCCTGTTGAGTTTTGATACTTGGGCAGGCTGTAGAATTACTGACAGGCACAAGAAAATAGTGGAGTTACTGACTGCACAGCTGTGCCACTTCAAAAGGGGAGAAGCATTGATGCTAAAGTGTAGACAATTGTTAAATCTGAATTTTGTTTACCTTCTTTGCAATAGCACAGACCATCCACAGGGGAACATGCACCATCATTTTTGCAATTACAGACTGATGAGCAATTGGTACCGTAGGTTCCTGCCATGCAGGTAATGGTGCAGTCATCTCCCTGCAAACCAAAAACAGTCAGAGTCAGCTAAAGAAATCTGAATTGCAGGAAATTCCCATCTCTGCACAGGGAGGCTTTCTCTTTCGAAACAGTGAACAGAGTGTTATGAGTTGATTGCTGAGTCTTCAGCACTTGAGCAGTCACCGCTGCTTCCCATGATTATGATGCAATTAGTGCTTTGATTGACTTGGAGGAAAGGGACAAGTTTTTGGCATTCATTCAGCAGGAGGTGGGGAAGTTACAAAAACAAACCTCCTAGAACAGATGTTAGATCATTAAGCAAAACATCACTTACTGAAACACTAATCACAAAACATACAGTCTGAAACCGTGCAAAGATTGCTCTGCATTTCTTGGAAAATATATTCTAAGAATAGGGTTGTTAAAAAGCTAAAGAATCTCGTATGTGCTCATCTTCCACAGAATGGCAGAGAGGAAAACTACATGGCAGGTGCATTAGACCTTTTTGAAGCGTAGCTGGTACCTGCGCTTGTTTGCAATTAATTTGCATGAGATTGTGACTTTAGGAAGAACGCTGAACAAGGAGTGATGAGTCTGTCAGAAGGAGGAGGCACACAGAGCGGAACACAGAAACAGACGGTCACGGTCCTATTTCTGCTTTAGGTGTGGGGGAAAGTGAGGGAAAGGAGAGTAAATACATGTTACAGAAATATAGACTATTTCAACAGTAAATTACGGTACACTGTATGCACTGATTAGCTTGTGTGGCTGAAAGGAGAGACAGTTCTTACTAATATTGTTCATCTGTTACAACTAGGGAATTAAAATGTGAGCACAATTCCTTTAAACCTACTTACTGAGTCCCATAGTCGGGTCTACGTATGTTAGCACATACAAGGTATTTTTGCTCCTTTTTCTTCTATGTGTAGTCCTGACTTTCACATCACAAATTAGCTCCTAAATTTACTTCTTCAGTGAGTCAAACTTTAATAATTTAGTTCTATGTCAGAGAAAGCTATCCTACTCCAAAGTTAAATAGTAACTACATTGCACAGTGTGACCTATACCATAGCTCAGGGGAAAAGATATTGGTCAAAATGTGTTTTTGCAGGTGAGAGGCTTCGCTGTTTGATAGGAGGATCCATTTGTCAGGAGATAAATGCACAAAATGTCAGCTTCCCTATGCCATGGCAAGTACCTCCAGGAGCCTGTATATCACAGCATCAGACACTGAAAGAGTAAAAGGAAATATGAACAGATTTCTGAGCACCATAAACCCCCACATGCTTGCTGTAGCAGTTCTGCCTAGCACCGGTATGACTCATCCTATTTTATACTAAAAACTTTGTTTTAGGGGGAAGTAAAAGAAACAGTTAAAATACGTACTGCTCAGAAGTAAATCCTACAAGTCTCTGATTTCTGAGTGAAAGCAGTGTTTGTAAAAGATGCTATCTTTGACCTTGGTGGAGTAAAACAAGTTGCCCTGAAAAGGCCTGGCAGTAAAAGGTGCTGTCTTGACAGCCAGAAAATCCAAAGCATGCTGCCCCTCATTACCCTGCCAGCATGCCTGCAGAATGAGCTACAGGAACCCAGAGCCGAGCAGGATGGCAGAGGGGCATTCAGCCTCCACACCTAATCAATTCTCTGCCTTTCTCCTGTGTGTGACAATTAGATAGCCAATTAGTGCCACTTAGAAAGCCGTATCTTGTGTGAATGAAACTCCCAACTCATTTCATGTACAACACAGAACTACTGGTACTGCTAATAATTTCTATGACAACTGACCTTATCTGGATTTGAACTAGTGATCTAGAAGTAAAAGAAAATTCCTTTGAAAAGGAAAGTAGAACAGAGTGATGCGGAGCTAAAATATCCCCTTGGGAACCAGATTAACTAAAACAGCATCTAGGCCACAGGTGGAAGCAGAAGGTGGATTTCCAGTTCCTCAGCTGACTCTCTGTGTCTGCAGATCAGCTCGTGTTATGCAGTAAGTTCTCCCTGGCCACGTGCACAATAGGCTGGTGCGGATTCACCAGTTTTCTGTAGACTTAGGTACTGTATACAAGCTAAACATCAGGCTGGTTCATCTTTATTCAACATGCCTTTGAGTTTTGGCATTTACTTTAATATACTATACTTTATGGACTAACAGAGGTTGGTCGTTCTGGCTGTCCACCTTATATGCACTTTGCAAACAAACCTTAACTGAAAAACTAACTGGCTTAATGAGATTTCTATCCCCGGGTTTGACAAGTGAGACCTTCAGAGCTCTCTGAGTGACAACTGCCAAATACATTTAACTTCTTAATTACATAAGAGGAAAATGCACTTGAACTATAGCACTGGCTCTAAGATTTTGTTAATTATACATGCACACCCTGTTATTAGCATTTTGAACTTGATTTGGGAGAATGACCTATGAAATTAAATGCATTCAGGTACTGTTAAAGATATGTAAATTCCACCTCTCTCTCACCACCTGCCCAAGTGAATAATGCCGCAGTATACATCTATCCAGTTGTTAATGAGTTATATATTCTATTAAACTGATTTCAAATGTTGTGTATTGAATCTTCACTCTTGCAATATGGTACTTTATATTTCTATCCTATTTAGTAAAATTAATCAACAGCTGTGCTCCTTATGTTGATTATTCTTTTTTCTATTAAGATTGGGAGGTTAATGAAAGTGGTGAAATGCCTGGATGTGGCATACATGATAGGAAGGAGTAGCTAATTCAAACATATACCCCTGAAAATGTTAAAGCTATATTAAGAAATCTAGCTATAAATAACTTGGTATTTTACGTCTCTATTTTCCAAGACAGTGATCCATATGGACATCACAAACTTTCAAAAGTGCTTCATTTTCTTCATCATTTTCACTTAGAAGGCCCAGTTTATCAAAATATACCCCTGAAATCTATCCAATGTATTATTTCTTAATTTCAGGGGCCAAATCTGACGCTGACATAATCAATGAAAAACTCTCCTTATGGGATGTGGAATGTGGGGCCAGCTCCAGTAAATGCCCCACTCCATGTGTGAAGCAGCACGTTCCTGCCCTCTGCTTTGCATTATCCCTTCCCAGGCCCCAGTCTGTGAGAGGGTACCTCAGTACAACCAAGGACAGGGTGTCCCACATCTCCACACAGCTGCTCAGAAGCTAACACGAGTGAGCCTTTTTTTGTTTGAAATCCAAAACTGATGGGAGTATCCCAACATAGCAAAGATACAGGTGGGGGATCTGTGATCCCTGGGACCCTAAAAAGTCAGCTTTAAATCAAAATGAATGGTGGCAGTAACGTAACTAACACCACCTATATGACCTTCCATACCTTTAAGTAAGTACTTCAGAAATACTAATTGTTGCTGAAACTAAAGGACAGGCCTTTCTAGCACCAGGAGAGGTTTGGGCATACAATTCTTGTTATTGTTAATCCTCCCCTATGCATTGAGGATTAGGTCCAAGGAACCAAACTGCATTAATAACTCAGGCTGCCAGCTCACATCCATCAGCATCAAATATTAATAGACTCACGAGGGCCAGAGCATACATCTTTCCGGATGGCAGTCAATAATATGTCTTGTTTCTGTTCAGGGAGAGGGGAAGATTTTCTTCCACAAAAATTATTATTGTACAATATTAGTAGAGCTTAAAGACACACTGCTGCCTTAGGTGTTAGCTGTGTTAACAAGCTCTGGACACTTCAGAAAGTGTTTTCCCTGGATTAATGTTGCCCTAACAGATTAGGTTTCTTGTTTCTGTTAAAAATACATTCCTGCTGTGAACAATGACCAACTCCCTTTAAAATCTTTTTCCAGTGTTCAATACAAAGATTTGTATTTATTTCTGTACCTTTTGGATCAGGCCTTTAAATCTGTGAAATGCATTTTCAAAGGAAAAAAAAGGGTATCCCAGACCAAAAGGGGAGTTAATAACCCAGCAATGGTCAACAACACCCGGCAAAGTCTGCACCCATACCTGGTCTGTCTCAAAGTTTGACTATTTAAGGATGTGAAATTAAGAATTTCAGAAGTAGCTACAATACACAGGAATAAATTTGCCTTGGAGGGCTAAAGCCTGGTTCCACTGAAGTCAGTGGCAAAACAGAAAATCAATTTTTCAAGGCCTCTGCAATGCAGAAGGCTAACAGGGCTGTTATTGAACGTGGCCTCAAGTTTGCATGATAAAGACCTATGTGACAGGTTTGTTTGAGTGTTCTTAAGGTTTAATCTGTCAAGGTGCTGAAAATCCTCAACTCCTGTGCAGATTATTAGTGGGGGACTGACAACACTGGAAGGCAACATATTTGAACCTTTGGTAATCTGTAATGTGACTCCAACTAATGTGAGATTTTTAACATGGTCTGTGATTTCCTCCCTCTCCTCCTCCTTGGCTTTTTTGTGCCAGATGAATTAGAGGTGCAACACCTGTCACCAGCAACAGGGAAGCTCGATGCTCCGTTCTCAGAGCTCACAGTGCAGGCATTAAATAGAAAGAAGGGCATGGTGCAGTGCCATATGTATGTAATGATAAACAGATCAGAAAGACAAAATGCAGGTGCTGTTTGTACCTGATGTCTGTGTGTCCAGATAAGCTGATTGGTATGGATTTGGTACATAAAAGTATATATTTATATGTACACACATTACATGGCACACCAGTGTGCTGGTACACAGTGTCTGTGCACTGGCGCAGATCATAAATACACTTCTGTATATTTACTTATTTGTGACATTTACAATTAACCCAAAGTGGTTCTCCACAAACATTCCCTCAAGGTAAACATATGGTATCCAGCAACACAAACTGTCAGAACAAACTAATTTCCCTAATGGTGTTCCAGTGGAAATTAATGTGCTCTTCATAAGCATATTAGCAGCAGTAGGAAACTTTGTACTTTTACCGGTCTTCTCCTCCACCCTAGACTCAAGCAATTTATTCATGACCTTACCATACAGCATCTTTAGTTTTCCAGACATAATGATGTCCTCTGGCAGAATTCCTTTCCCCTCTGGGTGTTACTAATTACTCCC